CAATGAGTTTAGAGTCCAATCCTAATTTCTCAAAGCAGGATTCCCATTCAGGGTACTGGCGCTGGTACACCAATGTTTCAACGCAATTGATGAAAGGGAAATGTTCATTCTGCATCATCAAAAATTCATGGCTTTGATAAGTTCCTGAAAGCTGAAAGAGACTGCCCACTGTTTGTCTATCTATCTACCTCATATCTACTTGCAAATTTGATTAGGTCTAAACAAGATAAAATTTTTAGATTTTTAACTTCATTCCCAAATGCATCTCTATTCATAATAATTCAGGTGAATTTCCATAAGAAAAAGCTATACCATACACGAAAAGGAAAGAATTGGAGGCTGATGCATACCAGTTGAGGCCAGATATCAATGGCACAAGCTTCCACAGTGTTCAATAAGCATTCATATGGGCCGTGCTGCACTCAGAAACAAAAACAAAAACTCATCATCAGCGAACCCTAGACAATCAAGAAGACTTGCTAACATGAACAGGAGGCCTCAGCACCTGGCAATCAATGGTGTTGTTCCCTCTAAGCTTGGCGTTTCCCCAAGGGACGAGGCGGAGGTCGACGACGGAGATGAGATCATCTTCGAAGAGCTTAGTGAGGTAATTGATTATGAAATTAGCACTGTAAGGGCACAGTGATTCATAGTACAAAGCCACCGAAACTTTATCTGAATCGGAAGGAAGCGAAATAACTGAAGCAGAAGAAGAAGAAGGAGAAAACAACAAGAGGTGAGCGAGAAAGAAAAGCGGGAGGGTCGTTCGAGAAGTCGCCATTGAAGGAGGAAACCAAAAGATTTTTCAGATATGAAATTTTGTTGATCGGAGAGAAGGGTAATGTAATCGGTTTGGACAATTTAGAAGGTGGAGACTCTGTATGGATTTTGACGGGCTGGTGGATACAGGCCACTGCTACACCTGTTTCATTGGGTTAGCTTATTTGGAGTTTATTACTTTATTTCCACAGCTAAAAATATCTTTTAACGTTGTATTTTACTCAATAATTTAAGGTAGAGTCAAATCAGATTTTATAAAGAACAAATGCCTCGGATA